CTTGCAAGGAGAAGCCTCTGCATTAAGCTGTATAGTTGCTGTAGGCAGGGCTGTCCTATGGCTGGTTTGCAGCTATGGTGGGGACAGTGGGTTTGTGCACAGGTGCTGGTGGGTAAGAAGGAGCAGCAGGTTGCTTATCATGGTGAGGGGCCTCAGGGCTGCATTGCCAACCAGGGAGATAGAGTGCCTGAAGCTCCTAAAAGTTCCCAACCTGCTGGGCTGAGTGTGTCAGGACAATTTTGTCCACCTGTTCCTTCTCCTAAACCCTTGCCCCTTTAGCAGCCTTATGACTCTTGAGAAGTCTTTTAAAGCTCCTGCTTTTCTTTTGTCCCAGGGCAGCCAGTCATGGGAACCTGTTCTCAGTCTTAGTCTCTGACTTTGGTTTTCAGCCCCTCTAATCTCCAGATCACCATGCAGAGTAGGTCTGTGCTCCCAGGGTAGATTTCTAGGGCTGGGTATTAGCGGTCCTGTGCTTCCACTCCCTCCCCGTTTTGATTCTCTTCCTCCCATGGGTGAGCTGGGGCAGGGAGAGTGCTCAGTTCCTGCTGGGTCATGGCTTTTCACTTTATCCTTTTCTGTGAGATGATGACTTCTCCAAGATGTAGACTGGCTGGTATACTCTTAGTTCTGGTCACTCTTTTAGGAATAGTTGTATTTGCTGTATTTTCAAAATATATGTGGTTTTGGGAGGAAATTTCCATCATCCTATTCATGCCATCATCTTTTCTCCTCTCAGATTACCTTTTTAAAGGAATAATTCCAACCATACATTGTTTACAAGAGACACATAAAAAATATAAGGATACAAAAATATTAAATATAAATAATAAAAGTACTATAATATAAAAATACTAAAGACATTACTAGAGGTAAAGAGGATCACTTCATAATGATAAGTTTTAATCCACCAGGAAGCTATAACATCACAAAACAATTTCCCACATTAACATAAACTCAAAATATAAAGCAAAATTTCAAAGTAAAAGGAAAAATTTGAAACTCCATAATCAAAATGGGATACTTTACCTTACCTTCCTCAAAAATTGAGAGGACTATTGGAAAAACTGGACAGCTACATGCAATAGAAAACTGGATTACTGTCTAACTCCATATACAAAGTGACTCAAAATGGTTTGAGGACCTAAATATAAGACATGAAACCATAAAACTCTTAGAAGAAAATATAGGCAAAGTTCTATTGAACATAAGCCTGAGGAATTTCTTCCTGGACACAACTCCTTGGGCAAGGAAAACAAAAAATGCACAAGTGGTACTATATCAAACTAAAAACCTTCTGTACAGCAAAGTACATAATCAGCAGAACAAAAAGGCAACCTAAGGTATGGAAGAATATATTCATAAACAATTTATCAGATGAGGAGTTAACCTCCAAAATATATAAAGAGTTCACACCTCAACACCAAAAAAACCCCAAATAACACAATTTAAAAATGGGCAGAGGACCTGAATAGACATTTTTCCAAAGAAGAAATACAGTCTGCTAACAGGCATGAAAAGAGGCTCCACGTCACTAATCATCAGTGAAATGCAAATCAAAACCATATGAGATATCACCTCACACCAGAATGGGCACTATCCCAAAGACAAGAAATAACAAGTGTTGGTGAGGATGTGGAGAAATGGGAACCCTCCTACACTGTTAGTGGGAATGTAAATTGGTGCAGCCACTGTGAATGCAGTATGGAAGTTCTTCAAAAAACTAAAAATAGAAATACCATATGACTAGTAACTCACACCTAGGAATTTACCCAAAGAAAACAGAATCCCTGACTCGAAAGGTTATATGCAGCCCTATGTTTTTTGCCACATTATTTACAATAGCCAAGATATGGAAGCAACCTAAGTGTCCATCAATAGATGAATGGATAAAGAAGATGTGGTATATATATGCAATGGAATATTATTCATCCATAAAGAAGAAAGAAATCCTGCCATTTGTGACAACATGGATAGACCTAGAGGATATTAGGCTCAATGAAATAAGCCAGACTGAGAAAGACAAATACCATGTGATTTCACTTACTTGTGGAATCTAAAAACAAAGCAAAACAGATTGAACGAAACAGCAGTAGACTCACAGACACTGAGAAGTGATTACTGGTTACCATGGGGGAGGGGTGGGGATAGGTGGGTGGGGAGGGTGAGGGGAGCAAAGCGGCACAAAAATTCTCAATCATAATATAAGTTGGTCACAGGGATGGCAGTACGATATGGAGAATATAGCCAGTGGTCCTATAACATCTTCCTATGCTGACATATATTAACTGCACTAGTGAGAATGAGGATTTAGTAATATGGGTAACTGGTTGAACCACTGTGCTGTATACTTGAAACCAATCTAAGATTGTATATAAACTAGACATCAGTAAAAATAATTAAGAGGACCATTAGACAATAGTAATAGTAATACTAATACAATAGAATAGTTGAACAACCTGTTGAACAACAAATTTGACCCGATGTTCATGGGTTGGAAGATTAAATATTTTAAAGATGACATTCTTTTCTAACAGGATTGTATATTTATGTGTGTTGGGAGAAGGGAAGTCTTGACAAATTGATTCTAAAATTTACATGGAAATATGAAGAGCCTAGAATAGCCAATACATTTTTGAAGGAGGCTGAGAGAGAGGGGACTGTGCTCTACCAGATATAAAAAGCTATTACAGAATATAGTAAGACAGTGTAGTGTTGGGGCAAGATAAACAGAGAAATCCATGATACAGAATGCACACTCTTGCATACATAAACTCTGACTTATGAGAGCAGTGGCCCTGCACAATAACGGAGACAGGAACATCTTTTCAATACATAATGCTGGAAGAACCAGATATCCATACTTTTTTAAAGAAATTGGAACCCCTACCACACATCATATGTAAAAATCAACTCTAAGTGGATTAAAGACCTAAATGTGCAATGCAAAACTACAAAGATTTCTTTAATATATAGGAGAATAGCTTTATTACCTCAGGTTGGGGGAAGATTTATTATCTGATGAAAAAAGCAGTATCCATAAAGAATTTGATAAATTAAAGTTGAAATGGTGAAAGGCAAGTGAAGGGAGAAATATTTGCAGCACATATGATATACAAAGAACTTGAATCCTAAACATATAAAGAATTTCTGTAAATCGCCATGAAAAAAAATCTACCTAACAAAAAAATGGGTCAAACTTGGACACTTCTCAAAGAAGAAAAATCAAATGGTTAATAAACATGAAAATGTGCTCAACCTCATTAGTGTAACCTGAGGAAAATTAAAAGGAAAATGTTTATATTTTAGGAAAGGAAAGTTAAAGCTACAATTAGAGATCAGTACCTACCTAGATATTGGCAATAATAATAATAAAGTCTGGAGTTTTAAAAAGTTAAGCGGGAGTTTAAAGTATTGAATGTTGTGAAGGATATAGAGCAATAGTCACTGTTATTTGCCTTTAGTGGGATGTAAATTGGTACAATTTGGAAATCACTTTGGCATTATCTAGTAAAGGGGAAGGCAGGCATATCTTGGGATTCAGCAAATTCTGCCTCTAGGTATAATATCTCAGCGGAACTGGGTACCAGCATACATACATAAAAATGTTTAAATAGTTTATCATAGCCCCAGACTGGAAACAACCCAAATAACCATTAACAATAGAATAGAATGGGTAGGTAAACAGTGATAAATTCATACAATGGAATATACACAAAAAAAAGTTATTGGACAACAGCTACACACTGGGATGTGTATATATCTCACAAATATAATGTTAATAGAAAGAAACAAAATACAAAAACTACATAATTATGATTCCATTTATGTAAAATTCAAAATGGGAAAAGTTAAACTGTATTGTTTATAAATTTAAAAGGGCAGAGCAATGACTATGAAGTCAGACTAGTGGTTATGTCTAGGAAGGAAGGATACTGACTTTGTGCCAGATACACAGGAGGCTTCTAAGTCAGCAGCATCGTTCTATTTCTTGACCTGGATGGTGATAACATGGGTATTCACTTTATAATTATTCATTAACAGAATACCATGTTTTAACACTTAACTCAATGTATTTTGTAAGTTTTAAATATGAAAAACTATATTATCTTCCAAAAGAAATAGCAACCATTGCATGAAATTTTCGATTAATTATTCAGCTCTATACCCATTTGATTACAATTCAAGATCCAGAATAAATAGAATTAAATGGAATCTTTATTATAAAGCCTTGTTGGGTATAAATTCATCTATTATTTCATATAAAATAGTTAAACGTGGAGCTTTAATCCAGAATATCTCCCTTTATTTCTCTCTTCATCTGCTCGCACTCCACTAAGTATCTTGCTCAAGCAACCTCATGAGCCATCATGAAGAGACACCAGATGCTACAGCACAAGCTGGAGTTCAAAGGCAATTTATTGAAGAATAATTCACATACAGTGAATTTCTTTATTTCTCTCTTCATCTGCTCGCACTCCACTAAGTATCTTGCCCAAGCAACCTCATGAGCCATCATGAAGAGACACCAGATGCTACAGCACAAGCTGGAGTTCAAAGGCAATTTTTGAAGAATAATTCACATACAGTGAAATCCACCTTTCTTAGATGTACAGCTCCATGACTATTGACAGTAACCACCACAACAATCAATATTTCAAAGATTTCCATTGTGCTAGGGCTGGTTTTTATCTTGTTTTGTTTCTATAGCAATATGTGAATAAAGTAAAAACTGACCAACCAACCAACCACAAGCTCCTTCAAACAGGCACCTTTTATCAGAGGGCTGCTGCGAAGGCTATTATCAAGTTAGCTGCAAGAGTTAGGGCTGATCTTTACTGATTCCCAAGGATTGTTCCTTGCTACTGATGCAAGGCCAAAAATGTAAAGTAAGAAATGGTTTGTATCACTGCCTAACAAACAGAGATGTCTGTTGTTGTCATAATGCGTTGTATCGGAAACAATTAACAGTTCAGTATCCTTTTATTGCCTGTGACTTATAGACGGTGAGGAATGAGCTTTCAGAGAGGTACTACAAACATGGCAGCAAGTTTCTGACGTCATTTCCAGATGGGACAATGCAAATATTGTATCCTTTCTTTAAACAAGTTATTTTTATTGGCTTTATTTCTTTACAGAGAGAGAAAATATATAAAAATACATAAACAGAAAAATAGATATTATCCTCAAATGCTACTACCCAGGGAAAAGCTGTTACCTTCTTTTTATAAATCTTTCCTTTTTCCTATGAGCAAATATATAATTCTTTAAAAATCAATTCTTCTAGTTACTAGTATTTTATAACTCACCCCTTTACATAATATGCAATAAATACATACAGAGATATATCACCATTTTATAACCTCATGGTATTTCACTGTAGGGGTGAACTATACTTCATTTAACCTATATCCTAGTATTGAACAAAGGCAGTTGAATTTTTTGCTATTACATACAACAGCAAAATGAAGAGCTTTGTGCATTTTTTGTTGCATCTTACCACTTATTTCCCTGAGTTAAATACCAGGAGGTAGAAATTCTGGGTAAGAGATTATGGATATGTTAAAGTTTTGATAGAGTTTTGCCCCCCAGAAAATGTGTACCAATTTACACATCCTCGAGCAGCATGTTATTTTTTAATAGAAAAATTCAATATCCATTTTATGGAACACTAAGTTATTGAACGCTTGAACTGTCAGTGATCTGTGATTCTAGTGATCTGACACAGTATCAAAAGTTATTACTCAAGGAAAGTAAAAAACAAACAGAACTATGAAATAACTAGGTCTTTTTTGGTCACCTGAGGACTCACTTTGTGGGAAAAAGTCATTTTTAGTCATAGTTTTCTAAATACTTAGTCAACCCTCAATAGTCAACCAGAAATATGACTTTCATGGCATAAGAAATATGTTTTAGTGCCTATGAGAAAGAGTGTAGGTTTTGATTATATCAATAAATTTTAAGTAACATTCCTAACTTTTATTATTAGTTATCATTTCATGCCCTGCCTTTAATTCTTCTTAACTTTCTTGAAGGCCATGGCTGATTTTCAAAATGATTCAGAATCAGTCTTGTGTATACTTCATCTCTGGATTTCTGGCCAGCTTAGATAGGACTGAATAGTAAAAGTAAATTATTGTGTTTTTTATTTTTGTGGAGCCTAAAAACAAAGCAAAACAGATTGAACAAAACAGCAGTAGACTCACAGACACTGAGAAGTGATTACTGGTTACCATGGGGGAGGGGTGGGGATAGGTGGGTGGGGAGGGTGAGGGGAGCAAAGCGGCACAAAAATTCTCAGTCATAATATAAGTTGGTCACAGGGATGGCAGTACGATATGGAGAATATAGCCAGTGGTCCTATAACATCTTCCTATGCTGACATATATTAACTGCACTAGTGAGAATGAGGATTTAGTAATATGGGTAACTGGTTGAACCACTGTGCTGTATACTTGAAACCAATCTAAGATTGTATATAAACTAGACATCAGTAAAAATAATTAAGAGGACCATTAGACAATAATAATAGTAATAATAATACACTAGAATAGTTGAACAACCTATTGAACAACAAATTTGATGCATACATTTTTGATGCTATTATAAATGGAATTTTTAAAAATTTCATTCTCAGAATGTGAAATTCACTGCTACTATATAAAATGCAATTTATTTTTATGTATTAATCTTGTAGCCTATAACCATGCTGAACTCATTTGTTAATTCTAATATGTTGTTTTGTGGATTCCTTAGGATTTTCTATATACAAGTGTATGTCCTCAGCAAATAGAGCTGGTTTTATTTCTTCCATTACCAATCTGGATGTCTTTCATTTCTTTTTCTTCATAAAATTTCTCTAGAACATCCAGTGCAATGTTGAATAGAAGTGAGGAGAGTGGACAATTTGTTTAGTTCCTCATCTCAGGAAGAATACACTTAGTCTTTTATCATTAAGTCTGACATTAGTTGTGGGTTTTTGTTAAACTATCAGGTTGAGGAGATTCCCTTATATTCCTTGTTCATTGAGTTATTTATCATGAAAAGGTATTGGACTTTGCCAAATGTTTTTTCTGTGCCTATTGAGAAGGTCATGTGTTTTTTGCTCTTTATTATATCAATATAGTATATTTCATTAATTGATTTTCAGATGTTAAACCAATCTTGCATTCCTGGGATAAACTGCACTTTGTCATGATACATAATTCTTTTTATATATTTTATCTTCCATTTGTGTTTCATAAGTATATTTTGGTCCACACAAAGAGCTAAAATCCTTTTGTAATTAGAGCACCTCCTATCCTCAGAACTTTATAGTTTCATAGGGCTCTCTCTTAAATTGAATTTATTCCCAGAATGGTCAAGGACTATTAGAACAATTCAGTGACCTTATCTGATCCCAGCTACCCATCTGGAAACCTAGCCATCATCCGAGTGCCCAACAAAATAAGTGGTTTCACCTGTATAGTCCAAGGAGACATACCCACTAATCCTGCAATCCTGGCAGTGCTAGATTCTTCAGGCAGAAGTTCCTGCTATCATCCCAATGGAAATGTCTGGTAGGCTTCTAGGTTCCTCCTGCTGTCATTTGTTTTTTTGGGTTTTGCAAAATTTTATTTCTCCTTTTTTCCCCCCAATGTTATTGAGATATAATTGACAGGTAATATTGTGTAAGTTAAAGGTATACAACATTGAGAATTACATATTGCAAAATTATTACCACCATAGCATTAGCTTTCCCCTGAATCATGTCACTGATCTTTTATCCTTTCAGATATACCCTGCTCTCCTGTGTTTCTTCTTGTCCAGACTAAACCTCCCTGCTCCTTCATCCTTCCCAGCACATAATTTTTCAGACCCCCTTTATCATCCTGGTTTCATCCTTGGGATCCATTTTAGTTTATCAGTAGGTATTGAATTGGACCCAGTATTCCAGATTAGCATAGCATTCAGTGTTAGCAGTCCTCAGGTGACCTGAGGTTTCCCACCATTCATATGCTATTGGCTAGCTTATAGTGCTACTCATGTTGGTTAGCAAGTGGCAGGGCCATTTTCAAGATTGAAGTCTAATGTTATTGTTTATGGTTTTAATTTCCTTTCTGCCCAGGGTATACATCAATATCTTGGGAGGTCAATATTCAGATCAAGCTGGCAACAGAGTAAGAGCTTGGAATTGGTCAAGTTCCATCAGTTCCTCACCCTTTGCTTCATTTAAACCTATTTTTCTGGCTCTGAACCATTACATTGGAGTTCGCATCTTAGAACAAGACAAGATTTCAATCACTTTTCTAGCAATGGGCCAACAGGCAAGAATCAGTGTCGGAAGCAAAGTGAAGGTAGGTATATTTTTAAAAAGAGTTTAAAACATTTAGAATAGTAAGAGTAAAATAACTTTCATTAGTGTTATTACTAATACATTATACTTGTGTATAATCTACTGTCCACTAAGAATTTTGGAATTCAATGAAAAAACACAAAGTGAAAATTTCATAAGGAATGAAGGCAGCATTATCAATTGTTTTTTCCTCCTCAGAAATTCTTTTTAGTTCAGACTTAGATCCAAGAGACCTTTCCTAAATGTTTACTCTGTGACTGAGTAGAGCTGATTTGGGGAGCTGGTTTTAGGATTTTGTATTGGGCTTGTTTTTCTCCAAGTTATAATAGAAAGCCCAGGGCTGAGTCAGGAGATGTGGGTTCTAACCATGTTCAAGACCAAGCATAAGCCCCGTCTCTGTGGAGGCTGTTCCCAAACCCCCGACTCCTTCACCAGGTCAGGGTCAGTGACATCCTTCTCTTCGTTGTCCACGTACTCAGCCCTATTCCTGTGCTCGCCAAACCATGCTCCCTTCCTTGCCCACATGGCTGCCTTTTCTACTGGATGCTGAGCTCCTGAAGGACAGAATCTCGACCTTACTGATTCTTCTATCGTGTCCAGTGTATGCTCTCAGAGACTGGCACTGCCACACATGGTTGAGAAGATGGACTTCAGGTTACAGAGATGTAGTTTTGACTACAACTCTGCTACTTAGCTAAGTGGGTGGACTTAAACTTCAGTTCCTTCATCTATAAAGTGGGGATAATAATTCCTACCTTATAGAAGCTGTGAAGGTTCAGTGAGAATGCCAAGTACCTAGCGTGGTGCTTGGCACCAAGTACTCAGTGAATGATAGCTCAGCACAGATGTAGGGTTTGTCAGTTATGTCTCAATAAAGCTGAAACATATATATAGATATAAAGAAACATATAAATAGAGATCTATGTGTATCTATATACATATATAGCATATATAACGTGTCACTTTGAACAAGTCTCTTAAACTCTGAGGACCTTCATGTCATCTATTATTAAAGGAAGAGATCACTCCAAACTTCAAAGGTGTCTTCAACTTCTAAAATGGCTATACTTTTAAGTGGATATATGACCTCAATATTCAGCACAAGCAGGAATATTTTACAAACACCAGCAAAAGGGAGGCTTCAGATTCCACCACCATAGAGTGAGGGTTTACAATGTGCTAAGCACCATTAAGCTATGTTCAGTTTGTTTAGGCTCTGGACAAGTTTCTTTCTTGGTTAGAAGTTTATGATATAGCCTCCTTTTGGTACATTCCATTCATGGTAAATGCATTCTTACCAAAAATGTGAAAAACACTCTTTCCTTGTCCCCTTTCCCTCCTTAAAAATGATTTTAATCAGAAAAAGTCTTTTGACGCAAAATAACTTTATGTTAAAAGTTTTTACTTTTCTCATTGTCCTTATGATTACCCCCTTTTTAAAATTACATAAGTGATATGTGAATACATTCTCATATTTAAAGATTCAAATGATATAAAAATATAAGAGTACATGAACACTGAGAAGTAACTAGCGGTTACCATGGGGGAGGGGTTAGAGTGGGTGAGTCGGGAGGTTGAGGGGGGTAAAGGGCATAATAATTCACAACCATTAATATAAGTTGGTCACAGGGATAGTAGTACAGCATGGAGAATACAGCCAATGAGTCTGTAATATCTTCCTGTGTCAACAAGTAGTAACTGTACTAGTGGGGGTGAGGATTTAATAATATGGGTAACTGCTGAATAATATGGGTAACACAGTGGTGTTATATACTTGAAATCAATATAAGGTTGTATATCAACACTTCAATTTAAAAAAATAGAGTAAAAAATGAGATGCCCCTTCATCCTTTCTTCTACTCTAACTCCCTTCCCAAAGGTAATCACCACCCAAAATTTGGTGTGTATTTTTTTTCTATGTATTTACAAATTATTTACATACATCTTCCTTTTTAAAAATAAAAGTTGGATCATACTTTACTGATCGTATTGTTAAGTGGAAAACAAACAGAATGCCCTAAGTATTAGAGGTTTTTCCACGTCTGTATTTTATTTTTAATTGCTATAAAATATTCCATTTGTCCCATCATAACTCATGCTACATCTAATGACCTCTCAGGAGCACTGGACATGGTTGCTCACTTCCTCCTCCTGGAAGCATTTCTTCCCTTGTTACCAGGACAGTACTCTCCCTTGGTTTTCCTTCCACCTCAGGGGCTATTCCTTCTCATTTTTCTTTACTGATTTTCTTCATCTCCTCGTTTTCTAAATATGGAGAGGCTCCAAGACTTGTTCTTGGGCTCATCTTTTCTCTAAACTCACTTCCTAGGTGATCTCATTCAGAGTCTCCTGCCCTTAAATTCTATCTACATGCAGATAATCCTTTAATTTTATCTCCAGGTGGATCTCCCATAACTCTATAAACTTGCAAATCTCCAATTCCAAGCCTACATCTCCATTTGAGTGTTTAAGAGAACATTAAAAACTTACCATAGCAAAATTATATTAAAAAAGCTTGCTCCATCTCAGAAAATGGCAACTGCATTCTTTCAGTTGCCCAGGCTGAAAACCCGGGAGTAGTTCTCCTCCTCTCTGTTTCACAGCCCCACATCTTTATCTGCAAGTCCTATAAATGCTAACCCTTCTCACATCCTCTAATACTAACACTCAGATCTGCCTCCTGTACCTAATCCATCTGTTTCAATTATTACAGTGCCTCCTGATGAGCCTCCATGCCTCTGGTCTTCCCAATGTCTATTCTAACCAAAGAGTTGGAGTGACTGGTTTTCCCAAAGTCTATTCTAACCAAAGAGTTGGAGTGATACTTTAAAAACATAAGTATGGTCAAACTATACAGTGGCTTCTAATCTTACTTAGACTAAAAGCCAAGGTCCTACAAAAAAGCCTGCAATACTGTACATGATCTGGGCTTCCTTCCATTCCCTATGCAGTACTCTCTCCTTACTTGTGCTGCTCCAGCCACACTGGCATTTTGTTGTTCCTAGATAATAGCAGGCATGTTCCTGCCACAGGGCTTTTGCACTTGCTATCCCCTCAACCTAAAATGATCCTCCCCCATTTAACATGTAGCTGCTGCCTCCCTTCCTTCATTTCTGCTCACAGAGTCCTTTCCTGACCACTTGTATTGAAACTAGCAGCATTCCATCCACCCTCCCCGGCACTCTGAGCCCCTTTGGCCATAGGCCACAAGTTTATTATGTAGTGCTCTCATTTTCCTTCACTTCCAAAGAGTTTGTGATTTCTATTTTGATTTCTTTACCTCAATAGTTACTGAACTTTCAAAGAGAGTTTTAAAATTTACTATCCTTTTCTTGTTAATTTCCAAATGGTCAAGTAAATATGGCTTGCATTTTTTCCTGTTTAAAATGTACTGGTATTATTACACAATTTCTCTATCCCATAAACATTTGACCACCCCACCACCAAAAGTATATTGTTGGCACAGAATTGTATATATCTAATTGTTCTATTCACACTTCTCCCTATAACTGTTTTTAGTTTGTTCGATTATTTCTGAGAAATGCATGAAAGTGTCCCAATGTGATTGTGTAGATGTCCATTTTTCCTACTACTTCTATCAGGTTTTGCTTTATATATCTTGAAACTCTGTGGTTAGGAAATTAAAGATGTTGATTCTCTTCTTGGTAAATTGTACCTTTCACCCTGTGACAGCTCCATCTTCCACTTCAAATATTTGCTCTTTGGCTGTGCCCATTATGTAAGAAATTTGTTTTTATTTTGACAAAAAATTTTCAATATTGCCAATGTGTATTATTCCCAGTTTCCCTATTACTCATCTTTGCCTTTAGTGCTATTCCATGTTAAATTACTACACCTGCTTTCTTGTACTTAGCATTCACTTGTTACATCTTTTTCAACCTTCGATTTTCACCCTTTTTATGTAGTTTTGGGTTAGATGTGTCTCTTAAAAACAAATATATAAATGGGTTTTGTTGCTTTCCTCAACCTGACAGACTAATCTTACATACATGATATTTTAATGGCTACTCTAAAATTGTGAACATATCTTTTTTCTATATGTACAGAATTAACTCCAAGCCCTTTAGTTATTTCTTCTCCTCAACAATAATTCTCTCAAATCCCTCAGAAAATATTAACTATATATATTTTCAAGTCTTCCTTAGGTTACTAATTCTGTTTCCTTGAGTGCCTGTATCTCTGATAGGTAAATCTGGTGCCTATCCTTCATGGCCTCAAATATGCAGTGATTCTTGGTTGTGTGTTCATTTTCATATTTGAGAATCCCCGTTTTCCTGCATGTTCAGCTTACTGAAGTTTGCCCCCATGGAGATGTGCTGCGGAGGGGCAGAAGGCCAGTCCCAGGGCCGGGTTTCCAGCCCCAATACACGGGCATCACGGCTCAGCACAGAGGGGAGAGAAAGGGGTTGCCTCCAACTGATCTTCCTAATATTTAACCTCAGGGCCCCTCTTGCTGCTCGTTTCCATTGACTTTGAACTCAGAATGTGTTGTCCGGAGTTAGTGGTCTCATTGGGTCATTATCTCTCTGTGGGTATTGGTCCCACCTGCTTTTTGATTTTCAGGAATTCCTTAAGATTATTCCTGCTGATGAAAATCTTCCCTATTTCCTAGAACCATTACTGATTTACTCTCCAAAAGAGTTTTCTGTCATTTTATGGGGTTTAGGATTGAAAGGAGGTTGAAAATGCTGATCCATTCTTCGTTATTCATCCGTCACATATCCCACCCTCCCTCCTTCCCTTCCTACCTTCCTTTCAATGTGGGAGGGATGAAAATGCAGAAAAATACTGTGAGCTCTTGTGTCCTTTGCAAGTAAGTGGTCCTCCTCAGCAGAAAGTAGTTCAGCTTGCGCTTAGCCCCCACCCCCGCTGAGGTTAAACACTGCTCCCAGGCTGGTCTCGAAGCCACAGACTGAAAACACCTCAAGCAAGACAGTTCTTACAGATCCATCACCTTCCTGCAGCTGTGAGGAGACATCAGCCTGAACTACCAAAGGCTGTGAGGAAGTGGGGCGAGCAGAGGCTGAGGAAGGGTCACGGAGAGGTTAATGTGGAATGGCCTCCTGGAGGCAGGGGCACGTGTTAGAAGGAGGGGCATTTTAATCATCCCTGGTCCTTCTTGGAAACCCAGCTCAGGTGCTACCTTTCCTGAGGAAGGCCGTCCCCTCAGTGCTTGCCCAGCGTCCAGCCCAGCACATACCATGCTCCCTGCTACTGGGCACTTCCCAGGGATGGAGCTGTATTTGCAGCACCTTTGTGTGCCCCTTGGTAATATGCTGGTAAGTTATTTGAATAAATCATAAGCACTGCAGAGTATTCAAATTGTTTGGTCTAGTCTTTTCTAATCTCTCAAGTCTCCACAGCATTTCAGTACATTCCTCGTCCAGATGAGCATAACACTACTGCTCCCATTTGTAGATAATTAGACTCAGAGGGACTCCAACCCCAAATGGCACCCCCACCCCTGTGCACAGTCACCATTCCCACGGTGGAACTGAGCTTCTCTCTTTCTCTTTGCTGAAAAGCTATCGAACCCCAAAGAGATTCCAGTTCTCTGGTACCTGAATGGGGATGACCTTCTTCTGCTGGCCATTTTAATAAAGATTCGACGCCTGTTTCATAAACTTCAAAGATGTGCAAATTTTCCCTCCAGCCAGGTTTGGGAAAAATTAGAGCAACCTTCCTACCTTTCTTCACTTTCTGTAAAATTAATTGCTCTTTGTCACAATTCTGGTATAAAGCAAGATACAATAACAACAATAGCAGCTATAATAAATGAAAAAAATTAAGAATGATGGTGCTTTCATTTGTTGAGTTTTGGGGAAGGGAGTATGGGAGATTTCAAGAAAAGTATATAAAATGACTAGGAAATGCCAAGAAATATGCTTTATTATAAATTTAGGACACAACTTGAGTTTCCATTCTTGGTCAGGAAACTCACTTCAGGACACCAGAGAATGAACAAAGCGGCACCTGCGTCCATTTCAGTTGGAGTTCTGTCAGGAAAATAGCGGGGAGGGATTAGGTGCTTCCAGAAGCATCCTAAAGGCCGGAGAAATGGAGGTCAAGGAGAATCCCTACAGGCTTTCAGGAAGCGTGGACGTGAAGGAAGCTCAGGAAGCCGGCCGTGCCCAGGTGAACGAGTGCCGGAAACCCAAGAAGCTGCCTCCTCCAGGATGGCTGCCCCTCCTGCCGCAGGTGAGAGACGGCTGCTGCTTGTTCAGGCTGGGCAACCCTCAGGCTTGGGGCTGGTGCCTCTCATGGGGAATCGTAAGGAGCCGGCTGGCAAAGGATTTTGGACAGTGAAGTATCTCCCCTTCCAAGGGCAGGAAGGAGGGATGATGCTTAATCTGCAAGGTCAGCCCAGCACGGGATCTCCTACTCAGTGATAAAGGTGTTTTAGAGCAGAAAGATGCTGAGAGCTGGATAATGAGAGCCCTGAAGTCATCCCTGGAGTGCAGGAAACTTGCCTTTCCTGAACCCTCCAGGACTTCTCAATTCCCTGTTCTCTGGGAGAGGGAGAAATGTAGTTTTAGGGGCCATTCTGAATAGTGAAATCAAAATTTGGTGTAAATGCGCCACGAATGAGAAAGATCAGCCTCTCCACCATTCACCACTTACTGTGAAGTACTAAATCATGTAGTTTTCCTACTAAGGTTAGCCAGCTGAGGAAATGCAAGAGGGAATGAAAGGGAAAGGAGTAAGTGGAAGCACAGAGTATTCCAGGGGAAGCTGGGCAACAGGTGGAGAGAAGCAGCTGAGCAACTGAGACACAGGGAGATGGTTCTTGCTATCAGTCGCCACCTTATAACTCCCTGCCTTTAATTAGCTTGCTTCTTAGGAACCGTGCTACACTGAGGGCTCAATTATTTTTTGTTTCTTCATGTCCACTCTTGCTACTCACCACTGCCACCTTTGTGAAAAAGAGGTTCCTAGACTCGTATCTTGATCCATGCTAAATGTCTCTATTTTGGCTTTTGCCTCTTCCTTTTCACTGATGAGTGAACTTTAATTTCTATCAAGTGAGATAGAAATATTAAATTAGTTCAGCTAATATGTATCAGTATAGGTCTGAAATAATAGGACATAACAGTATGACACATAACAGTCATAGCAAAGCCTTAACTGAATCTGTTCTTATACATCAGTAAAAGCTATTTTCGGGCTGCTAAGGCCATCGAATCAATATCATATGCCACATTAACAAAAAGAAGGATAAAAACCGCATGATCTTCTCAATAAATGTTGAAAAAGCACTTGACAAAATTCAATATCCATTCGTGATAAAAACTCTCAACAAAATGGGTACAGAGGGTATGTACCTCAACATAATAAAGGCCACATGCCACAAACCCACAGTAAACATACTTAATAGCAAAAAGGTCAAAGCTTTTCCTCTAAGATGAGGAACAAGACAAGGACACCCACTCTTCCCACTTTTACTCAACATAGTTCTGGAGGTCCTAGCCATGGCAATTAGACAACACAAAGAGATAAAAGGCATCCAAATTGGTGAGGAAGAAGTTAAACTGTCACCATTTGGAGATTAAATGACATTAAACATAGAAAAACCCTAAAGACTCCACCAAAAAACTCCTAGAACTAATAACCAGATTCAGCAAAGCTGCAGGATACAAAATTAATAAACAGAAATAAGTTGCATTCCTATATACTAACAACAAACTAGCAGAAAGAGAAATCAGAAATACAATTCCATTTACAATTGCATCAAAAAGAATAAAATATCTAGGAATAAACCTAACCAAGGAGATGTGTGGATAAAATGAAAGGTCCTATGACCAGGATTCTCACCTGGCCCTGGTCGGCTAGGTCACTACATGTGGGCAATATGTTGCTATTGACTCTACATAAAAAGCTCCACCCAGTGCTCTGGGTGACACGGTGGCATAGCTGCAAGACTGCAGGAGACCAGAGCAGAGGCTGGAGGGGTGGCAGCGTGGAGAACAGAGGCCCAGAGGATGGCTGTGCGGGACAACTGTGCAGGCAGAGAGCCCCAGAGGACAGCTGTATGGGACGGCTATGCGGGCAGAGAGGCCCAGAGGCAGAGACTGGCTTGCTGCATGTAGACTTGCTCTGAGTAAATGACCTGCCACCATGGAAATAAAGCTGGGTGTAACCCTTTCACCCCAAGAATATTCTACTGTCATTTTCTTTGGTCACACTGAATCCACAGTGAACTTGCCCGGGGCTGAAACCCATTGGCAAGACAAGGTGAAAGACCTGTACTCTGAAAACTATCTATAAGACACTCATAAGAGAAATTTTAAAAGACACCAATAAATGGAAATACATCCCGTGCTTATGGATAGGAAGAATTAATGTTGTAAAAATGGCCATCCTGCCAATTTACAGATTCAATGCAATCCCTGTCAAAATACCAGTGGCACTGTTCAATTAACTTAAACAAATAGTTCTAAAAGTCATATGGAACCACAAAAGACTCTGAATAGCCAAAGCCATCCTGAGAAAGAAGAACAAAGATGGGAGTATTACACTCCCTGACTTTAAGCTGTGACACAAAGCTATAATAATCAAAACAATATGGTACTGACTCAAGTACAGACCCATAGATCAATGGAATAGAATAGAGATCCCAGATATAAACATATGTATACATGGTCAATTAATATATGATAAAGGAGCCATGAATATACAATGGGGAAAAAACACCCTCTTCAACACCTGGTATTGGAAAAACTGGACAGATACACACAAGAGAATGAACCTGGATTTCTGTCTATCTCCACACATAAAAGTAAACTCAAAGTGGATCAAAGACCTGAATGTAAGATATAAAACTATAAAACTCTCAGAAGAAACCATAGGCAACAATCTCTTAAACATAAGCATGAGCAGTTTTTTCCTGGACACAACTCCTCAGGCAAAGGAAACAAAATAAGAAATGAACAAGTGGGAATACATCAAACTAAAAGTTACAGCAAAGGACACCATCAGCAGAACAAAATGCATGCTATAATATGGGATAATATATTTGTAAACAATTTATCAGGTAAGGGGTTAACATCCAAAACATATAAAGAGCTCATACACCTCAACACCAAAATAAACAACCCAATTATAAAATGGGCAGAGGACATGAATAGACATTTTTCCAAAGAAGAATAACAAATGGCCAACAGGCACATGAAAAGATGGTCCACATCACTAATCATCAGGGAAATGCAAATCAAAACCACAATGAGATGTCACCTCACACCAGTTAGAATGGCCACTATCCAAAGACTATCTGAAAGTGTTGGTGATGGTGTGGAGAAATGGGAACTCTCCTACACTGTTGGTGGGAATGTAAATTGGCAAAATTGCTGTGGAAAGCAGTTTGGAGGTTCCTCAAAAAACTAAAAAGAAAATATCATTCAACCCAGCAATTCCACTTCTAGGAATTTACCTGAAGAAAACAAAATCCCTGATTCAAAAAGATATCCTCAGCCCTATGTTTATCACCCCATTACTTACAATAGTCAAAATATGGAAGCAACCAAAGTGTCTGTCAGCAGATGAGTGGATAAAGAAGATATGGTATACACATACATGATGGAATATTATTCAGCCATAAAAAAAAAGAAATCCTGCCATTTGGAACAACATGAGTGGCTCTAGAGGGCATTATACTAAATGAAATAAGCCAGGCAGAGAAAGACAAATACCACATAATTTCACTTACTTGTGGAACATAAAAACAAAGCAAATCAGAATGAACAAAACAGCAGTAGACTCATAGACAGTGAGAAGTGTCTGGTGGTTACCATGGGGGAGGGGTGGAGATAGGTGGGTGGGAAGGGTGAGGGGGATAAAGGAGCACAAAAATTCTCAATCATAACATAAGCTGGTCATGGGGATAGTAGTACAACATGGAGAACATAGCCAATGATTCCATAACATCTTCCAATGTTGACAGATAGTAACTGCACTAGTGAGGGTGAGGATTTAGTAATATGCATAATTGTTGAACCACTGTGTAGTATATTTGAAACCAATGTAAGATTCTATGTCAAAAATACTCCAATTAAAAAATTTTTAGTAAAAACAATTAAAAGACTGCACATGTCCATAGCCAGGAAGAGAACCACTGAAGTTTCTGTCACCCCTGTATAAAATCATTTTCCAAATAACACAGAGGCTTCTTCTGTGTTAAACTATTAACCAAAGTCAACACAATGGTAAAATCAATCAGCCTCTTGCTCTTTTGTTCATATGAAACATATAAGTACCTGACAAGTGCTGACTGAATGAATAAAGTGAAATCTCTATGAAGGATATACAATTAACCCTTCAACAACATGGGTTTGAATTGCATAGGCCCACTTATAGGCGGATTGTTTTCAGTCAATACTGTACAGTACTATAAATGTATTTTCTATTATGATTTTCTTAAAAATTTTACATTAAAGGTGCTTACTTAAAAAATACAGTATATAATACATATAACATAAAATATGTGTTCATTGTTTATCAGTAAGGCTTCCTGTCAATAGTACATTATTAGTAGTTCAGTTTTGGGGCAGTCAAAAGTTACATGAGAGAGTGAGGTTAAAGATGGTGGCATGAGAGGTGAAACAGAGGCTTCCTCCTAAAACTGCATATAATGCAAAAATTTAATTACTACAACAAGGGCTGCACCAGACTGCATACACCTGGAGAAAAGAATAAACCTCATAGAACAGGTAATGTTCCAAAGCTGTGGCCCACCAGGACCCAACCCTTCCCCCACCCCAGCTCACCAGCAAGAGGAAGAGATATGGTGCAGGGA